TATCCAGACACAAGAAACATTTAGAACCCCAAAAAGACCAGACCAGAATAGGACATCCCACCGTCACATTATAATCCACACAGGATCAACTCAGAAGAAGGAAAAGATCCTTAAAGCTGTCAAGGAGAAAAGGGTAACCACCTACAGAGGGAAACCAATTAGAATCACCTCAGATTTCTCAGCAGAGACAATCAAAGCAAGAAGAGCCTGGAATCATGTATGCTATGCCCTAAAAACAAACAACTATCAACCAAGAATACTGTACCCAGCTAAACTCTCCTTCATAACTGAAGGCCAAATAAAAACCTTCCATAGCAAAGAAAAATTGAAACAATACATCTCCACCAAACCAGCCCTACAAAAGATTCTTAAAGATGTCCTACACATAGAAAACCAACAAGACCGCAATAAAGGCCAAGAAACTGCACCCAAATTGAGAATCCAAGAACCATAGGAAGAACCCAGTTTTTGCAGCCCCCAAGAAGGTGGATAACATGGAAGGAACTCCCAAATAACTCTCAGTCCTATCTCTTAATGTTAACGGACTGAACTCTCCAATTAAGCGACATAGACTGTCTAGTTGGATTAAAAAACAAGACCCTTCTATCTGCTGCCTGCAGGAGTCACATCTTGCCCGTAAAAATAAACACATTTTCAATGTTAAAGGTGGGAACAAAATCTACCAAGCAAACAGCCCCCATAAACAGGTGGGAGTTGCAAACCTAATATCAGATAAAATAGACTTCAAATTAAAATTCGTGAGAAGAGATAAAGAAGGTCGCTACATACTAATTAAAGGATCTCTACTTCAGGAGGATATTACAATTCTAAATATCTATTCGCCAAACTACGGAGCACCCAAATTTATCAAAGAAACACTACTTTCCCTCAAATCCCATATAGATCCAAAGACATTAATTGTTGGGGATTTTAACACACCACTCTCCCCACTCAATAGATCAACTTGGCAAAAACTCAACAGAGAAACCGCAGATCTAAACAGCTGCATAGATCAACTAGACTTAACAGACATCTACCGAACATTTCACCCACCAGCATCAGAATACACATTTTTCTCAGCAGCACATGGAACGTTTTCTAAAATAGACCACATTTTAGGCCACAAAGCAAACTTGTCTAAATTCAGAAACATTGAAGTTATACCTTGCATCCTCTCTGACCACAAGGGAATAAAATTAGAACTCAACAACAAAAGCCACCAAAGAAAGTCCGACATCACATGGAGGCTGACCAACACACTGCTGAATCATGAGTGGGTCATGGAAGAGATTAGAAAGGAAATTCAAATGTTCATGCTATTCAGCAAAAATGAACACACAAATTACCAGCTCCTCTGGGACACAGCAAAGGAAGTACTCAGAGGCAAGTTTATAGCTCTGAGCTCCTACATCAACAAATTGGAGAGATCTGAAACTAACAATTTAATGACACATCTAAACCTCCTTGAAAAAGAGCAGCAAGATAATCCCCAATCCAATAGACGGAAAGAAATAATCAAAATTAAATCAGAATTAAATGAATTTGAATCCAAAAAAACTATAGAAAGAACCAACAAAACTAAGAGTTGGTTCTTCGAAAAACTTAACAAAATTGACAGACCCTTAGCAAATCTTATCAGAAAAAGAAGAGAACACACCCAAATTAATAAACTCAGAGATGAGAATGGAAACATCACCACAGAAACAACCAAGATTCAGAACATTATAAGGGAATACTTCTCAAAACTTTATGCTAATAAGTTTGAGAACTTGACAGAAATGGACCTTTTCCTAGCAAATATTGACATGCCAAAACTAAACCAAGATGAGTTAAACGATCTTAACAGGCCCATATCAAGCACTGAAATTGAAACAGCAATAAGAGACCTCCCAGCTAAGAAAAGTCAATGACCAGATGGTTTTACAGCGGAATTTTACAAGGCCTTCAAAGCAGAGCTCACACCAATTCTCCTCCAACTCTTCAATGAAATTGAAAGAGAAAGCTCACTACCGAACACATTCTATGAAACCATCATAACCCTCATCCCAAAACCAGGCAGAGACTCATCAAAGAAAGAGAACTATAGACCCATTTCTTTGATGAATATTGATGCAAAACTTCTCAACCAAATCTTGGCCAATCGACTTCAACAATTCATCCAAAAAATCATACACCACGATCAAACAGGATTCATTTCAGGGATGCAAAGCTGGTTCAATATACGCAAATCAATTAATATTATTCATCACATCAACAGGAGCAAGAATAAGAACCACATGGTTATCTCAATAGACGCAGAAAAAGCATTCGACAAGATTCAACACCCCTTTATGATGAAGGTTTTGGAAAAATTAGGAATCCATGGAACATTCCTCAATACAATAAAGGCTGTATATGACAAACCTACAGCCAGCATTATACTCAATGTTGAAAAACTAAAGCCATTTCCTCTTAACTCAGGAACAAGAAAAGGATGCCCACTCTCTCCACTTCTCTTCAATCTAGTATTAGAATGCTTGGCTACAGCAATAATACAAGATGCAGACATAAAGGGGATCCAAATAGGGAAAGAAGAAATAAAACTCTCCCTCTTTGCAGATGACATGATCTTGTATTTAAAGTACCCCATAGACTCCACTCCCAAATTACTCAAGCTGATTCAAAACTTTAGCAAAGTAGCAGGTTATAAAATTAACCCCCAAAAATCAATGGCTTTTCTGTATGGCAACAATGAGAAAAGTGTGGCTGAAATTAGGAAAGCAACTCCATTTGTAATAGCCCCACAAAAAATAAAATACCTAGGAATTAACTTAACCAAAGAAGTGAAGGACATTTATGATGAAAACTTTAAAATCTTGAAAAAGGAAATCATCACAGAACTAAAAAAATGGCAAAGCCTCCCATGCTCCTGGATTGGAAAGATTAACATCGTGAAAATGGCAATACTTCCCAAAGCTATCTACAAATTCAACGCAATACCTATCAAAATTCCAACCTCATTCTTCAAGGAAATAGAAGAGGCTATCCAAAAATTCATATGGAACAATAAAAGACCCCGAATAGCAAAAACGCTCCTCAACGGAAAGAACACTGCTGGAGGAATATCAGTACCAAATTTCAAACTCTACTATAAAGCCATAGTAATCAAAACAGCTTGGTATTGGCATAAGAACAGACCTCAGGACCAATGGAGTAGAATTGAAAACTCAGAAATGAACCTACAGACCGATAGCCATCAAATCTTCGATAAGGGAGCTAAAACAATATAATGGAAGAAAGACAGCCTCTTCAGTAAATGGTGCTGTCAAATTTGGTTAACTACATGTAGAAAACTAAAGCTAGATCCTTATGTATCACCCTGCACCAGAATCAACTCCAAATGGATCAAAGACCTTGAACTCAAAGCAGACACTCTGAAAACATTACAGGATGGAATAGGAGAAACCCTAGGTCTCCCTGGCTCAGGCCAAAATTTTTTGAATAGAGACCCGGAAACACAACAAATCAAAGAAAGGTTGGACAAATGGGATTGCATAAAGTTGCACAGCTTCTGCAGGGCAAATGACATAGCTAGCAAGATCAATAGAAAGCCCACGGATTGGGAGAAGATCTTTACTAGCCATACAACGGACAAGGGTCTCATATCTAAAATATACTTGGAACTCAAAAAATTAAACCCCCCAACAACAAATCCTCAAAGAAACAACTGCCCAATAAATAAGTGGGCGAAAGACTTAAAGAGAAACTTCTCTGAAGAAGAAAGAATGATGTCCAATTGACACATGAAGAAATGTTCAACATCCCTAGCCATAAAAGAAATGCAAATCAAAATAACATTGAGATATCACCTCACCCCAGTTAGAACGGCAAAACTCAAGAACTCTAACAACAACAGATGCTGGAGGGGATGTGGACAGTAAGGAACCTTACTTCGTTGTTGGTGGGAATGTAAACTTGTTCAACCACTTTGGAAAGCAGTATGGAGGTTCCTCAAAAGACTTCACATAGAACTCCCCTATGACCTATCAATCCCACTTTTGGGCATTTACCCAAATGTTTACAAACAAGACCACACTAAAGCTACCAGCACAACTATGTATATTGCAGCATTATTTACCATAGCTAAGATATGGAACCAACCCAGATGCCCCTCAGTAGATGAATGGATCAAGAAAATGTGGTATATATACACAATGGAATTCTATGCCTCCATCAGAAAGAATGACATTGCCCCATTTGTTAGGAAATGGAAAAACTTGGAAAAAATTATATTAAGTGAGTAAGCCAGGCCAAAAGAAACATAGGTCCCATGGTTTCCCTTATTTGCAATATCTAGTATATGGATGAGTTAAGCAGAAAAGGTCAGATAATGTGATGTCAGGAAAATGAACCCTTAGATATGTATTTTAATGTTTTTTTACTTTCATGCATGTGTTTCTAACGCACTTATAAGATTATCTCTTTGTTGCTTTGTATGTCCCTCCCCCACAGTATAACCCCTGCTTTCACTATATTTGATGTCAGTATAACTTGTTGGAGATGGGGAAAAACCATTTGTTTAAGGATACAGGTGGACCAGTTGCAACAATGAGAAGTACAAGTTGTCATGTCCAAAACGAGCTTTACAACGTTGGTGCGGGGGGGAGGGGGGGAAGGGGGAGAAGGAGAAGGATTGGGATTGGGGGGGAGGGAGGATGCTGGGAAGGGATGTGAAGGGTAAACCAAAGGAGGAGGCTGCAATGCTTGGTAAGAAATGTACGCATTATCCTGCCCATGTAATTGTAACCCCTCTGTACAGTTTGTTCACAAATAAAATAAAATTAATTTAAAAGAAAATGTATACTTCTTTATTTATATAAATAGGGTTTTTAAACAATAATATTTAAAAGAAATCTGCATTTTTACATTCACCGTCAGTGAATTCCTGACAGGGAAGGCTGAGCGTGATGATACATAGCAAGGTCCCACTGCAGGACAACAGTAGCTCAGGAAAGCACCATTCATTTGAGAAGCAGTAGGCAGGCTCTGGCATTCCTGTTGCACTGCTGGCAATGGGAAGTCTTAGACCTTTTCCTCCACAAGACTTCTTCAAATTCCCCCTGTTCATCAGCAGTGGCATCTTGGCACTGCTGATACTTGGACACCAGGTCGTTGATGTTGCTCTCAGCCTCAGTGAACTCCGTGTCGTCCATGCCCTCGCCCGTGTACCAGTTCAAGAATGCCTTGTGCCGCAACGTGGCACTGAACTGCTCTGAGGTGTGCTTAAAGTGTTCCTGGATGACCGTGTTGTTGCCAATGAATGTGGCCAACATCGTGAGGCCATGCAGGGGGATGTCACACACAGGTGTGAAAGCAGATGTCATACAGGGTCTAGTTGTCGATGCAGAAAGTTTCATCTGCATTTTCCACCAACTGGTGGACAGACAAGATGATATTGTAGGGTTAGGTGAGGATGATAGGGTTAGGTGGATAAAGGCTCAGCTCAGTACTGGGAACTAGAGTGTTTGGATGTTAGGGAGGAGGGGTGCCTGTTAGCCATCTCCTATGGACTATGATGACATAACAAATATGAAGTTGTCTGGTCTGAAACTCTGGCCAAATGGTTCTGATCTCACTGAGTCTAAGGTGCCAGTGTCCAACATCTTGGGCAAGGGATGACCCTGAAGGTGTTCATGATTCTATCTGGGAACTCCTCTCAGATCTTGTTGAGAATCAGGGTGCGCATGCCTGACCTGGTGCCACCTCCCAGGGAGTTGGCCAGCTACAAACCCTGGAGACAGCCACACCATTCCACCTCACCATTTCCAGCACTGATTCCAGCAGCTCGGCTCCCTCTGTGTAGTGGCTGTTGGCCCTGTTCTGGCCTATCAGACACAAAGACATGATGAGACACATACTCCAGGAATAATGACTGTGCTATTTGCATTGTGAAGGCTATAGGCTCTTCTGAGCAACTTTTGCTATTATTTTAGAAACACTTTGGTGGAATAAAGGAAATGTTTTCTTTTTTGGGGTCCAGTCGTGGGCCTGAACTCTGGACCTGGGCGCTGACCCTCAGTTCTTCAGCTCAAGGCTAGCGCTCTACCACTTAAGTCCTGAAGTCGTTCCCTATTATTGCCAGGCATTTGAAATCGCCATCAGCGCTGAAACCTTGTTGGAAGCTTTCCTTGCTCGCTCGCTGTTCATTCCCTTCAGAGGCTGCTTGCAGACTGGCATTTATCTGTGCTGATTGAGTGGCCAGGAACATGATATGACTGAAATAAGTGGTTTAGGTGAGGATGATATCTAGATGGATAAAGGCTCAGCTCACCACTGGGAACTGGAGTGCCTGGATGTTAGGGAAGAGGGGTGCCTGTTAGCCATCTTCCATGGACCATGATGACATATTAAATATGAAGTTTCTGGTCTGAAACTCTATGGTTCCGATCTTACTGAGTCTAAGGTGCCAGGCTCTAGGTCCCCCATGATGGCCCGAGGAACATATTTGTTGGCTGTGGGAACAAGAGTTGACTTAGGCCTATACTTGACAAGGAACTTAGGGGCAGAGCTTATGATTCTAAGTGGCTCTCAGCATTCATTACAGAAATTACAGCATTTCAGACATGGAAACAGAAAAGATATCTTGAGCATGAACCCCCATGCAAGAGGCTTCAGCAACTTTAAGGACCTTGGCAGTTGTCTATTTTCATGAATATTCATTCCTTTGCTTTGGGCATGGTGGCTGAAATCTTAGCTACTCAGGAGGCAAAGATGAGCATCAGGCTTTGAGTCTAATGGGGCAAAAGAAAGATGACAATTTTTTTTTGGTTCATCATGGGGCTTGAACTCTGGGCCTGGGCACTGTCCCTCAGCTCTTCAGCTCAAGGCTAGCACTCTATCACTTGAGGCACAGTCCCACTTTCAGTTTTCTGAGTTGTTTATTGGAGATAAAGGTCTCAGGGACTTTCCTGCCCAGGCTGGATTTGAACCATGATTCTCATTTCTCAGCCTCCTGAGTAGCTAGGATTACTGGTGTGAGTCACCATTGCCTATCAGCAAGAACCTTTCTCTTTTTTTGTTAATTTTGTTTTTATTGGAAAGGTGCTGTATAGAGGAGTTACAGTTACCAGAGTAAAGAAATGAGAACATTTATTGTCGAGCATTGTTACACACTCCTTTGTTGTTCTCCCACTATCCCTTCCCTTCCCCAATTACCTTTCTCAAGTAAGTAGCTAAGTGCTGAGCACCAGTGCTTCATGCCTATAATCCTAGCTACTCTGAAGTTAGAGATCAGAGGATCGCTGTTCAAAGCCAGTCTGGGCAGGGTAAGTCTGTGAGACTCTTATCTTCAATAAACTAACAGAAAACCAGAAATGGAACTGTGGCTTAAGTGGTAGAGCTGCTTGCCTTGAGCTGAAGAGTTGGGGCACAGTGTATAGGCCCAGAGTTTAAGCCCCACTGCCAACAAAACAAACAAACAAACAAACAAACAAAAGAGCCAGGTGTAGCTCTTCAGCAAGTAGATGTAGGGGGAATTCAAGTATAATGCTTTCCTGGGAAAAATACATAAAATACATATTTCTTGTGTTATAATGTTTCAATAATTGTTATCAAATAGCACATTTCCCTGTATTCAAATACTCAGAGCAACCTTGGACAATTACTTGCAATTTGCCATTTAACCTGATTTGTCAAAAGGGACATCAGTTAAAATGATATAAACATCAGTTTGAGACTGTCCCCTTTCCTAAACAATCACATGAAGAAAACTGGCCATCCTATCCTGCCTGATACACAGGATCTAATAAAGACACAACATAAAATACTGTTCATACGAGTGACACAATCCCACACAATGACTCTTAACCAAGGAACCACAAGATTAAAGTCATATATCTTACTTAAACTATATTAATACAAAATACCAAGGTGAGGACATCCCAAAATGTAGATCCATAAAACTCCAACACATTAAATAGCTTTGTCCTTTTGTTTGCACTTTTTCATTGGTTTATTACACAGGAGAACCAATTATCTACGATTCTGTTTGTATACAATAATGTAGAATGGAAACTCTTTATATAAAATTAAATGAATTTCACATTGACTGTTACAAAAACTGAAAATCTACTCTGTAGACTTCAGTTAGGTTGTTTGTATTAGGAAAGACAATATGACTCATTTAAAAGCAATGTTTACACATTATTATTGGGTTTTTCTACATCACAGCAATGTTTTTTACTTTAAAAACTTTAAAAAGAATTGGTTGTTGGCTAAGTATTCATATTCAAAATGCTCAAGACCAGAACTGTTATAGATTTCAGGGTGAGACACTTTATGCTTTGTGATTTGGACTATTCACATATATATTAGTGACTGAACATCCCTCTTTAAAATTTTAAAATTTTCAATTTCAAAATGATTTTTAGAAATTTAATCTGTATTTTAAAGAGGGCAATGCAACTGGGCTCTGGTTCCTGAAGGGTGTAATTCTAGCTACTCAAAAGTCTGAGATCTAAGGATCGCAGATTGAAGCCAGCTGGGGCAGGAAATTCTGGGAGACTCTCCTCTCCAAGAAACTACCTGAAATATTTGGTGCCATGCCACCTCCTGCTGAATCTGCATGAGATATCACCTTAGACAAAGACCTTCAAGGAAGCATGCCTGCAGGAAGAGTGTGTTGGTTCAAGGCTTCCCATACACTCGGCTGCACCTTTATATCCTCTACCTTTATTCTTACTTTATTCTTACCTATATTCTTCTTGGCTGTACATTCATTGCCTTTATTCTCGTTTTGGCTATTTTTCTATTGATCCACGAACAAAGCATGTTGTTTCTTTCCAGTCCAATAGAGATAGCTTCTCTAAATAGTAAAGACTAGGACCAAAGATTAAATGTGGGCGATGCCCCAATCAATCTATCGTCTGATGTGATGCTACCTCCAAAACTCCTACAACTTCACAAGTGGTTTTGTGGCTCACGCATAGTAAATATAAAAACAAAATTTCCAGATATGTTAAAACAAGCAGAATTAATGAATTAAACTAAGCTAGAAGGAGTTATCCCAGAAGCTCAGAGAGTTCTAAAAATAGGAACCCCTGATAATAAAAGGAAAAGAAAGATTCCCCCAACAGTTATGATTAAGTTTAGTCCAGCTTACATTATAGGGGATAGATGGTGGTTTCCCACAAAATATAAAGTTAGTGACATCACATTTCCTGAACCGACTGATGAACCATTGCCTTATACAGGAGCTGATAAAGATGTAAGTAGATAGATTAATGTAAAAGACAAAAAGGTATTTTGGAACTCATTAGATTTTGTGCAAAGATTAGGTAGATCTAGACCATTATTGTGTTCATTATTAAAACGACAATAAGATAGTTTAAATTAATAATTAGAAATTTATGTGAACAAATATTGGGATTAAAATTATAGAAAACGGAGAATGTTTGACTCAACTTGGAAGTGGTTTTTAGGATAGTTTCAAAGGGTCTTAAAAATATATGAAAAAAATAAAAAGAGTACAATATAAGTACAACCCTGTCTTAGGTTTGTTAATTAGTAAACATAAAAAGGCTGAATAGATGATGCATTCTATTTACCTATATGCTTGACTTGTTTCACATCACTTAGCTTAAACAGTTGGTGGGATAGTCATCAATTTTCATGTAATCCATCAATGCTTTGCTTTTCTTAAAAATTGATTACGTGCTTAAATAAACAAAAAAATCTATGTCACAATCTCACACTGTATAAAAATGTTAATTCTCCTCAATAAAGATACACTCAGATTCAACTCTTTTGAGTCTGTGTCTGTTTGTCACTTCGTAGACTCCTTGCCCACCTATACCGAGATCTTTGTCCCACCGGTCCCAGTGCTCCGGCCGAGCTGGTCTTTCACAAGTTGGTACTGGAGATGTGGCTTAAGTGGTAGAACTTTAGCCTTTAGCAAAAGAAGCTCATGGTCACTGCCCAGGCCTTGAGCTTAGAAGGATGACTAGCACACAACAAAATGGAATTGAATGGTATTTAAATTATATTTTATCAATTGTTTTAGAATACATATTTAGGCAGCCTCATTTTTAATGATGTAAAACAGGCTCATGCCTGTAATTCTCACTACTCAGGAGGCTGAGGTCGGAGGATCACAGTTCAAAGCCAGCCAGGGCAGGAAAAGACAGCGAGACACTATCTCCAATAAACCACCAGAAAACCAGAAGTGGCGCTGTGGCTTAAGTGGTAGAGCTGCTTGTCTTGATTTGAAAAGATGAGGGAAAATGCCTATGCCCAGAGTTGAAGCCCCATGACCAAAAAAAAAAAAAAAAAAAACAAATCCAGGTGTGGCTAGTCAGCAAGTACAGGTAGGGGGAATTCAGTAAAA